CACCCCTCTCATGTGTTACTCAACCTGAAGAAACACGATCAGACAGAACCAGGACCTTTACTCCCATAACACCAGACCAAGCCAGGCTGCCTCTGTAGCCCAAAGGCAACTAAGGAAAGGTAAGTCATACCTCGCTCTGAACCCTGGCACTGTGCAAACCTTAACCCCTCCACCCTTGGGAGCAAAAGGTAACAAAAACCTTAGCTGCTACTAAGAAGCCCTGCAAGCCCATACCTGACACTCACCTACGCAGAGGTGTATCTTTCAGGATAGCATCCAAGAGGAATACTTTGCTTGCCAGCACAGAGCTGCATGGACCAACCCCTACAGGAGAGAGGAAGGGAGAAACCAGTACAACAGCCACGAGCTTTCTACAGCCAAGGTTTCCCAATGTGGAGCAGAGAAGCAGATCTGCAGGGTGGGTTTGGTTTTCTAACACACGGCTACGACAGCAGCAGCCCATACAAAAAGCTTTTCTTCTCTCACTACTGTTCCCACCTTTTTGGAACATTTCCACAGCTCCTTAATTAAAAGCCAAAACCAAAATTGTCTCTAATACCTTCAAAGAAGGATGGAAGGGGAATGAATCAGGTTGCATCAATCTAAATCATAAAAACTTAACTTCAGCTACTGTGTATTAAGTCTCCACCTGCAACTGTGACCATACCCTTCACTTTAGGGTCGTTTAGTGGTGGACTTGGCAGTGCTAGGTTTATGGTTGAACTTGATCTTAAAGGTCTTTTCCAACCTAAATAATTCTTTGATTCTCATCAATTCCCCACCTGGCTGCTACCTCCTGTCATCTTACGGTTTTTCCAAGCTAACCCCCTTCTCTTGAAGCATATCTTCCCCAGTTCACCATAAACACACTCTTTCCACCCACCTGACTCCACCCTCATTTCTTTAGCATATTAACCACTGCCCCCCAAGAGAAACAGGGGCAGCTTTTCTGACACGAAGATAAGAAGCTACGGGAACACACCAGACTCCCCCCAGGCTGTCCAATCTTTCCTTCCCGTGCAGAATTTCCCCTACCAAGTTTTGCACCAAGTTGTTTGGATATAAAACTGATCAATATGTTTACTTGCTCTTCCAAGTTCAGTTCAAGAGGCTTTAAGAGACACTCTGACCTGTTCTTCCACAGGTGACTGGGACAGAGAGGGATCAGCACGTGCAAACTAGACAAAGGCTAAATTTGATTCTCGTGGCTGAAATCCAAATTCTCCTGGGGAGACCAAGACTTAATCCTAAACTTGACAGTTTATATTGTGAATATGCTGAAAAGCTTCTCAATCTATTCCCCTCTCCATGCCTAAAAACTTGAATACTCTGATTTACATATTGCATTTTTTTCCTCCATGAAAACCAAGTCCAGAACCAAGCTTTCAGGACTATGCGCTTGAACACCTACGCTAAATAGGAGTGACTTGTCACACTCCTGGTTTTCCATCAGCAGCAGGGTACACAGCCCCTTTGAAGAGAGCCACTTATTTAAGTTCCAAGATCTGTTTATAACTCAGGAAGCCTAAAACCACTGAGATCAATAAGAATTTTGCTCTTAACTTCAGTGGAGCCCAATCAAGCCAAAAAGACAGAAAGGAACATAAGCCGAAATCCTACATTTTGCCATACTCCCTATTGAACACACCATGGTTCTCGCAAACATCTACATTGGAAGCAGCAGTGAGCCCTTCCCTTTGCTCCAGAAAGTACAAGATGGAAATGGCAGCAGTTAAGCAAGAGAATCAAATCTGGTCAGAGTTAAAAATACATACATTAGTCCATGGGGTGCTTGCAACTCTCAGAAGAATCATGTCTTACAATTTAAGCTGGATATTCAGTGGCTATATTTTTTTTTTAAACTGTTTTCAACTATGTCCTTTATTTCTAGAAGTAACTAGAAATTTGCACTGTCACTAAATCCACATCAAGAAGCCATTCCAGTTCGTGTGATCCTCTGAGCAAAGGAAGGCTTGACCTTCATTTCCTCTAGCAGCACCCCCATGTTAAAAGAAATTATTTCATGTATTTTAAAAGATGACTTCTTCAGCATTGGGTCTATTTTTACACAAAAAATTTAGTAACAGCTTTCTCAGCGTGAAACCACAAGCATACCAGATGAAGGTGGAAGAGAAATAACTTGACTAATAATATTATATAAGGAACACAAATGGGTTTATGGTCAACATGGGAGCTTTTCAGTTTGTTTTACAGCTATCACCCTGACAATTCCCCAATCAAAACTTTAAGCAGAGCTCAGTGACTGAGTCATCAGTCTACATTTTAATAAGCACAAGTTTGATCCCTGGAGTATGCTCAGCTAATAAAGGTTTGTGTTCTGCTCTGATCACTGCAATATTAAAAACTGGACCTTGTACCACAACCCTTGCTGTTTAAAGCAAATCCACCATGGGACACAGATAAAACAACTATGAAACATATACAGTGTTGTCAATTTATTTTCTGTCCTTCTACCACCCCCAGTTTGGTGCAGGTACCAATGAACCATGGAAGATCACACGTTGCCACCATGATTCCTACCCCAAATCCTGGAATTGGCCAAGGAGCACAGCCCAAATGAGACGCAGACCCAGAAGCAAGGAGGAACTAATCCCACCGTTTTCATTTTTATTTTTATTCCTGGTTAAACATGAAAATGCCCAATGGATGTCCAAAACTAACACAATAGGATGGTTGTATAGAGTATAACAAACAAGACAGCAGAGCCTAAAACATTCTTCTGGTGGAGAATATAGTTACTACTCAAGTGCACAGTGCCAAAATATTCCGCTTTAAGGGCCAAGAAAAGCCCAGACAGACAGATCTCCAGCACAAAAGATAACAACCACCTACTCTTCCTGGTCACCTGATCTCTAGGAAAGCAGACAGAACAAATGAACACTTTTGTAGTTTTATTATCCCCACCCCCACTTCTCACAAACGGACCATGACTCGCATTGAGATCTCAGTGCATTTCACAGCAAAAAAAAAAAATGTACAAGAGGATCAAAACAGTTGTGCATAAACCCAACTTTTTTTTTTTTTTTTGCACAATTTACAGTTTGTGTTGAAAGTTAACTGGTTATTTAAACCTTCTGATGTACTCTTACACTTGGATCTTCTCCACGGAAAACATCTTACCAGATCAGGCAGTAGTGAGTTCTCGTGATGCTGGATCAGGTCCAGCCACTGTCATGGCTGGGAAGTGGCAGATAATGTTATATACACTGATTGGAAGACTACATCAGAAGAAAAAATAGAGTAAGGCACCACTGTTGGAAAAATTAAGGTAGCTTGTAGTACAACAATAACGAAAGCCATAATAAGTACTATTCTTAATTGCCAGCAATTCTTAGACTTCAATAAAATAGTTATAAAAAAAACCCAAAGGATGTTTGTACCTGAATACAGTTTCCTGATATCTGATTGTGTTTCAAATCAATACCCAGTCCTCGGCATAATCAGCTTTTTTTTTTTATGGTAAGATGAAAAACCAGGACCTACAGTTCATGTATTCACAGGTCACATTTCACTGCTTTGTTCTGAATAACACCACAGGATAAAAACAAAAACAATCCAAAGGACAGTTTGTAACACTGATACTTCACCTTTGAGATGATTAGATGGGCAGAGAAATTTAAATACAAAATTGTACGTTTTCTGTTTGTTTCAAAAGCCTTAGTCCTCAGGAAGGGAAGGTGGAGGAGGAAAAAACAAGGCCGAACCTCATTACATTGTAACATGAGAAAAATCAAAGTCACCCAAAGAGATTTAATAAAATTAGGAGTTGAAAAGTGTTCAAATTACTTTTCCAATTCAAGTCAATTATTTCAAGTATATTAAAATGTTTCAGAGGAAAAATTTCTCCATGGTTATAATTCTAATTGCTTTTATAAATCCATAAAAAAGAAAGGCAGTCTCTACATATAGTCCATGTTCCTCTGATGCATGCACACATTCTCTCTGAAGAAAAAAGTCATCGTGATCCAGTTGTTTCTTAACACTGATTTCAGGCACATCTTCCAAACACCTCTCCAGTTTTCACCAGAAAGGTTAATCACTGGGCATAAAAGCAGCAAATTTTTGTTGCTGTTGTCTACATGGGTACTGAACAGGTTTCAGGTATTGAAGAGTTTGACACAGATTCTTAAAAAAGTTCCCATGTCACTCCAAAATCCAACAGTTCTTTCTTCTCTTAGGCAGCTTTTGCAATCAGATCTACTTAGAAGAATCTTACACAATTCAGATAAAATCTCTTAGATCATACAAAAAAACAAGTTGGTTGAATGTACCTGGCAAGTTTGTCTCTACAACATCATTTATTTTTTTAATCTTTTTTTTTAAATAGCTTTAAAGTGCCCTAGTATATTTATTTCTTTATGCTCATTTAAACTTTCACAATTATGTAAAAAGGGGACACTCAGTGTGATTACTGTGTTTTGAGAGACAGAGGAAAAGGAGAGGAAAAATCAAAAACTCATCTTAAAGCAGCTTTTCTAGTTAGTGTCCGTTTGCTGAGTTTGTGCAGCAGAGACTGTTTTCCAGAGGGGTTTATGATAAACCCAGCCATCTCCCTGCAATTTTAAAAGAAAATATGGTTATAATAAAGACACTGTCCCAGGAGAATTCCCTTCACACAACTATTAGACTGATACCTGTGAAAACTAGAGGGACATGGCTTATACCTTTAACTCCCACAGATAAAGACAGATCAATGCTCCAGGCTTCTCAGACCGCTACAGAACACGTACGGACTCTTGTCGAGCCACAGTGCACCCGGGGAATCAACTGCACTTGTAATTAACCCAGATGGAAAGACACTCTTCTCAACTCCGTGATCCAGATTACTTTAAAAAGCCAAACAAGAAGCCAGCAGAGAGGCAGCTATCCAGGACTATCAGCTCTTATATAGCCCAATTGCTTTCCCTGAAATGAGGGAGCAGCTCAGGATTACGTTTAAACGTTTTCTGAGTAGATCTGTATCTCAGATTAACAACAGAATTTCACCTCTTGAGATCTAGATACTAACAATATTGATATTTAAATCTGAGCTAATCATACTAACATCGCTTTAGAGACAAAAAAACACTTCACTGGAGCTAACAGATAGTCCTGAACTTTAAAAAGCAAAAACGGGAAAAACCCAAAGGAAAACCTGTTTAGTCTATGTTTAAACCCTTGCTAGACTACAGATACGGGAAGAAGGAGGTTATGTTGCTGCAGTTTAATAGGCAAAGCTTTCACTACAAGGAGAATCTAGTCCAGCATGAATTTTTGTTGAGTCCTCCCCTCTTGCATGGGGCTCAGCAAAGCTCTCTACACCAGCAGGCCCTCATCATCTCGATCACAAGGAAAGCCTATTTCACAGTTACCATACCAGCAGGCCCCCGTCTTCCTGAGCAGTCTGCAGTTCACCTTGTTAAAAGCCTTAATATTTACTACCATTACTGAAATATAGGTTAAATCATTGAACAAATAAGCTTCACCTAAAACGTAATGTACAAGAACACAAAAAGTTCCAAGTTGAGAATGAACTCATGCTTCTTGCTAACAGTAATGTTATGTTGAACACAACATGAGCAACATTAGTAGTGCTGATTATTTTCTTTGGGTATTTACTGTTGCAGCCTGCTTACACACGTACATAGCAAGCTGTTTTCCACGTGCCACAGGGAAGAGCTTGGTAAAAGAAACTGAACCACAAAACAGGCGAATGTTTTGTTGCACGGGAATCACAAAACCAGAGTTTTTGGGAAGTGAAGCATAGAGTCTGACCTTTACATGTCTGGAAGTGCTTATGTCACCTTACTGCTACGGATCTCATGGAGATAAACTAGTGGAGGGTGTCCCTGCCCATGGCAGGCGGGTTGGAACTAGATGATCTTCGAGGCCCCTTCCAACTCAAACCATTCTATAAGATCTAAGGCCAAATATTCTATTCGGACAGGACACAGACCTGTATGTGCACCTGTTTTCATTGCAGCTCTGCCTTTGCCTTCATCAACAGCTAACTGCTTCGGAACTTACTTCTTTAAGGAAGTATTTAGTACACCAAGGTGTTTCTGTTTCAGCACGAAGTCTCTCTTCATTCCTCTGCCGTTCCTCAAGGGCTCGCTTGTGCTCCGTAGCCTTATCGATGTCTCCATCCCGCAGAGACTCTGTTACATGCTGCCACAGCCTCCTACAGAACAAAGAGTTAATTTTAGTTTTCAAAAGTTTTCTCAGCCTGCCAGCTCAAACTACAGGATCACCACATGCAGTTTTTCCACAACAGGAGCACTCCCTCCATTTACCCATGACAAACCAACCCAGGCTGAAGCACGATGGTGCAGCACAGGCGGAAGGGCTCACGGTCAAGCCTTACAGCTACACAAGCAATTAGAAGGTAGGAATGGCTCCGAGGTTTTGGCTGTGCTAATCTAATGTCTGTTTGTATACCCTTTAAAGTTGCTACGGAGTGTTATTCAACAAGTAGCTTCTTGCGAGGGCCTCCTTTATCAGGAGCTGCCCCCACTGTGTAGCTGATAACTCAAAACAAATAAGGAGGCTCAGTTCTAGCAGGGACTTCACAAACTGACAAACAACTCTGTCCATGAATAAGAGAGACAAGCGAAACAACCATATGCCTGCGCTTGTCTTTTGCATTTTTTAATAAAATGCACTTGTTTTTGGTTTTGGTTTTTTTTCTTTTTCTAAATAAAGCAAAATTAAGATCACTGCTGCTAAGCACTATCTACAAATAATATCTACTTTTGTGGATTTTCCTAAAGCATTAAGCAGCCTGCTTAGGACACAAAGGGTGGGACAACAGCGAACACATACTCTACCTAGACTCAAATGGTCCTTGTTTCTCAAGGGGCCGGACTCGTTTTCTTGTCACCGACAGCTTTGTCAAGTCCACGTATTTTGTCTCCCCGTTGCTATAGGTGAACTCAAGCACACTGTTCCACTCCCCTTGCACTCTGCACACCACTGTGTTCGTTGTGTTCTGCTTCACTTCACCTGTGACTCTAGGAAAGCAATTTTTATTTTTAAAAGGTCATGGCTGAAGACACCTGAGGACCGTTCCTTGCATAATCACTCAACTTCATTCTGAATGAGTTTGCAAACTTGTCACAGTGTCTTGAAAAACATTAGTTACTTGAATTACGTTTGCACAGAGGAGCTCAAAAAGCAAAGTGATTTTCACTTGTTGCTTTAGTTCTCTTCACATTACCCAGGAAACTCCAGTTTCGGCTTCAGCTTAAACTTGTTTCAAACCTTTTAATGGAATTGAAAATGAAAAAGAAACCAACACAGGATGGTTCACATGCAATAAGCAGTGGATCATTTCCACTTGAAACATCAAATTGGATGCGTAGTTTAGACTTAAAAAATAAAAAATAAACTTTCTACCATGAATGCATCTCACTACCTGCTGGCACTTTATCTCAAATCTTTGTATCTCAATGTTTTCCACATGTAGGTGGTCTCATTTTTATGTTGCTCACAGAAGCAGCAGACACAAAGGCAGAAAGCAAGGTAGGTCACTAGGACTCAGAAGAAATGTTTTTCTCTCCTGTCTCTTCCACAGAAACCTCTGCCAATAACAAGATATTAAAAATGTCTAATATGCAATATTTCATTCAAAGTGTTGCACAGATGCTCAAGTATCACCATAATTACACACACTGATGCATATTTTCCTTTCAACATCAAGACCTGCCCAAAGACCTCCTGATGCTCACTTTTATCCTGAATCAAGGAGTGGAAGCTTACTGAGCATAGCTAGGCAAGCAAATTACCATCCTCAAACAGAACTTTTCTCCCAGAAAGAAGAAACAAAAGGATCTGCGGACTATGCAAACAAGACTTGAGATATTCCCAGTCGTAAAGTGCTGCAGGATTCAGAAAGGACACTCTCTCCAGCCCAAATTAAACTGCAATCACCTGTACACAAGCTCTCTCCAACACATCACTCTCCAGTTCCACTTCCCGCAGTTTATCAGCGCTCATACAAAGCGTGTTGCATCTCCTTTCACACTTACGTTACGTGCAGCTAATAACAGCACACCACTGGTTTGCTGTTACTTCCTTTGTACAGCTGCATGTAGAGGAGCAGAAAGCAGCTATTCTGTGCTCCCACCTTGCCCACGCTGGCCGTGTAGTGCCATGCTCAGAGGACGAAGAGAGGGCAGGACACATAGATGCCACTTTCCCTCTTCCACATGCGCCAGCCGCTTCCAGCTGTGACTGCATCTACCTGTACCCCCCAAGCCCTACATCAAAAAAGAAAAATTCATCTCTCAGGCAATGAAACAAGTATCAGGGGCCAGATCTTTCAGCACACAGATACTGGATGCCAGTCAAATCAGACCTGCTGGTATTTCCCAGGGCAAGTGGGGAAAGCTCACAGCCAGCTCAGAGCAGGGGCTTCTGCCACATCTTGTACATGCGGGAGGCAGCTGGAGTCAAATCATGGTCCAGTAGATCAAACCTAGTTTAGCTTTCTTAGAAAGATCTTTCAAAAAACTAGACTGATAAGCATATGCTGCTCAGGCACAGTTTTCTGTTATAAAAATTTAAGATTCAGTCAAGAAAACAGGCCAGAGTTGGGGCAACACGAGCAATAAAAGCACATTTACATTAAACTATTAAGCTTGTTGAAAACAACTAAAAGAGTATGTGACAAGCAAGCAGCCTTCATTTTGGGCTGCTTTTTCCTCCTGTGACTTCCACACCTCATCAAAGCTATTACATGTGGTGGAGTCCCTATCCTCCTCCCAAAAGGTCTCTGAACAGTCTGAATCCATAGAGATCAGCCCATTCGACTTTGCAGTTACATCTTCACAAGTTTAAGAGCTTAATTGTCCCAAGAGCTGTGTGGTTACTACACAATTCTGACATCCAGTATTTTAGTATCAATCACAAAATTATTGTCTCTGCTCAGCTTAAAGAAAACAAGGTAGTACCACTCACTACAAAGGTGCAGTACTGAGCTGCGACGTTAAAATCTCATTGCGACCCGTATTCTTCAAGTTGCATTGCTCTGTGACACACAATCATTCCCAGCATTGCAGATCATAATATCTGCCTGAACTAATAGCAGTGATAAAAATCTGCTAGCGTTTATTCATAAGCTTGGCATGACTGATATATGTCTAGCTGTTCCTTATCATCATCCTTTATTTCATCACGCTAAAGAGGTACAGGACCAAGAAGCCAATATCCAGCTAAGGTCTAACAAGGGTCACTCTACAGAAAAAAAAAAAATCTATAACATTGCCATAGCAACTCACTTGCACTCTGCATAACCATGGCAACACTGCTGCTTCCCCATCAAGAGATTCTTTTGGCAAAGTCCAATCATCACCATGTCAAATTTTCAATAGTTACAGTACCTTGAACAGATTTGTCTTTAAAAATCTCCACATCTGTGACAACTTCAGAGAGACAAATAACAAACAATTTCCAAAATTATATCATTGAAGTAAAATTGCATCCTATCACTTATTTTTTATGGTGCAACAGGAGCTATTGCAAGGTGGTAGATAGACTGTAAGCAATGGCAACAAAAATCCCAAATGATGCATCATTTTAAAATTGTGTCAAGTGAAACAGAGCTATACGTAAGCTTCAGTTCTCCAGATGTCATTAGGACAGGAGAGTTGTGGTTGCAAGTTAAATTCAAAACACATATGGGAATTTATGGGGCAAAGCACTTCAAGATGCAAGTTTTGATGGTGTTTTTTTTGTCTTCCTTTAAACAACTGTCTGTATTAGCACAAAGCTAGTCTGCAGCAGTCTTACGATACAATTTCTAAAAACATCAGTGTTAACAAAGTTCTGAAAGCTCTTGCACCAAGCATGCAGATGCTTCCTAGAATGCTGCTAGAAGTAACCACAAGTAGACTTTCCCTGGATCTTCTGTCTTTTACCTGTTAGTTTTTAAACATGCATACACATGAAGAATTACCACTACGAGAATTACCATTTTTGTCTTTAACAAAAAGTATTTTTACCTAGAGATTTTCTGTAAATAGTTTAAACTTGGTAGTCTTACATTTCTTATACCTAAAGAAATCCTAAGACCAATAAGTAACAGAAGACTATTTACTAATGCTCCCTGCAGTGCAACTACAATGCATGTTGCAAACAACATGCAACCCTTTAAGACAGTGAGATCAATCCCATTTCAAACAAGGAGCAAATCAAAAAATTGGAAAAATTAACCAACTTCTGTCAGTAATAAAATCATCTGTGGCAGCCAGGAATAAAAGCCAGGAGCTCAGTATTCCCAGTGGTTTGAACACAAGCATCAGACAAACATGGAATTGCCTTACTGTCTTGAAAGGCAATTTTTCCTTGAGGATCACCTGAGATGCAGTTGTTTAGCTATGATATTGTTTAAGAGCAGAGTAATACCTTCAAGTGTTTAAGAACAGGGCAAAACAATGTTTTATCAGACTATCAAATTAGTATTATTCAGCACACAGAACAGGGGAGTCACACAGCTACTGCGGTTCTAGAGTGTGGATTACAAGGGAAAAGAGAAAAAAGTGTTCTCACCGATGCAATTTGCCACCATAGAAGGGCTTGGTGTGAAAGTTAATACTTGCAGAATATCCAGTCTTCGCACAGTTGATGTTGACTTTTCCTCCCAGTTCTACCCAGGGAACAGTTAAAATTGACCGAGCGTATGCACAGGGCAGAGAGAATGTGTATTCTTCCCCATGTTCCAAGAGACTTAAGAGACCTGTGTGAAGAAATACGAGAACCCCTAAATCAGCACCACTTTAGAAAATAACAAACAAGTTATTGGAACAGACGGCCAATACTACATCTGACTACTTTTCCCCATAGCCCCTCACACACACACACAAAGAAAAAAATCACACACAAAAAAAAAAACAACAACAAAAAAAAACCCCACACAAAATTGAATTCATTACAGATTCTAGATACATTTTCCTGAAATTACTGACCTGAGCAACATGCATTTATGTTTCTTTTGGGAAAATACATTATGAAGCAATATTATTAGGATTAAAGTACAACACTGTGCTGTGCAACATACTTTTCAGAAGCATAGAAAAGGGCTGGTCACTCTCTTATTGATGGTTCTTGAGCTTGGCAACATAACTCTTATGCTGCCAAACGGAAATAATGAATGAATAACCTGAACTGCAGATCCTGATGAAGGCTAATGCTGCCGTTCTATTTTCCCTCCCTATAATTCATCCCACCCTATCTGAAGGCAGGTAGCAGAGACAATCCTCCTCACTGCACTTCTCTGCCAAGATAAACCCAACCCTTTCCTGACAGTAGCTTTTGCAGTAAATGTCAAGAATCTCATAAAAAAAACTAGTTTGTTTTTTTTTTAATTTTAAGATGTGTAGGTTTGTTTTATTCCTAAAAAAAAACCTCAGCAAGTTTACAAGAGCACAGCACATCAACTGACTGCTGCCTGCATCAACCCATGCCTCTGTAGCATATTATCGCTGTGCATCCAATGTAAGTATGAAAAACATGAGAAATTCTGAACAGTTATGACATCATTTGAGAAATGCCCTAGAGGAGATATTGACTTCAGAAATTACCTGGTACAGTCAAAGCACTGAGATGTGCCTTCCACATTCCCTGTCGTGCTCATTCCCATCGTGTAGGTGGTTCACATGCAAGTGCCTGGAATCCCCAGTTACTGGGCAATACACACATGGGACATGGAATGGGAGATGCTATCTCATCTCTTGCAGTAAATACTAGTGCTAAAGGGAAGTTACAGTTTAAGGGCAGTTACCCTTCTCTGTCACCAAAGGATCCAATTTCTGTAGTTAAAAATCAAAACTTGCACAGTAAGACACGTCAGTGCAATATATGCAAGTTGAACAACACTTGTATTTAATTAATGTCTGATGCAAATTACTTCGTCTGATGCTTGTAAACTGATCAGTTATGAATGTTTCCAATTACAGTAACTGCCCTTTAGTTTAAAAGTAAAAATTTTATTTCCAAATATAATCCTGATTTTTGGCAAACCATAAACCTATCTAAGATTCCCCCCCATATGAAAATTTGCTGTTTATAATGAGGACTTGTAGTATCTTCTGTACTTTGTAAACAGTAAAGTAAGAAATCACTGAATGACTGTACGTTAAGGTTTACAGATCAGAGATTAGAGGAAAACCAAAAGCACATAAAACAAAAATCTGAAAACCCACAATAGCAACTGACATCTCTGCAAGCTAATTGTTTTTTAGAAGTCTTTGAAAGAAAACTACCAAACAGTATTTGTTTGTATTTCTGCCAGAGGTATATGATATCAAATTTCCTCTCAAACTAACAGTTTTAACAACTTTCTAAAATGAATAAAGGACAGAAGTTACACTTACCCTCACCAACCATTGTCACTCCTATTGACATTCCTAAGAATTTACTTTTTGTCCAGACATGGGCGTTGACACACATCTTTCTCTCTGTGCATTCAGCGTAAAACCCTGAGACAGGAGGATGGTGGGACACTTGCTCAGCTACAAATTTTACTGTATAGTAGTCCAGCTCTGTTTGGCCTTCCAGATCTTTAGACAGAGTTATTTGCTCTGATGGGGTGTGAGCAGAGAAGTTACTGCCGGCATCGGTGGCTACGTCACCCTTCGGCATCCTCCAGGAGCAGTGAAACGTTTCCCCAATGATTGGATTGTATGGTTTCTTTGCAATAGCTCCTTTGCGACCTTCGTGAAACGAAGTGAGATAATACTCAACAAAGCGGATCATCCTCTCCTCAGGAGTGGTGCCATTTGTGATTGCAATGAAGAGATCCGGATGGGACATGAAGTCCGCATACATCTCCAGCAACGATCGCTTCTCTAAAATAAAAGTGGGAAGAACCACCTGAAATAAAAGAAAACCCAAAGAGCTCTAGTAAGTAAAACAGAGACAGGCATTTTTGTAAGAGAAGTTCTCAGGTGGAGGATTCTGTCCTGTTTTGGACATCACATTTTCAGACTGAACTTTCTTGTCTCTGTTCTAAGATGTGTGCAAAATACAGTGATCAAAAAAGCAATTTACAAAGAGAAAAAAGCCCAGTAAGTACTATTAGGTTAAAAGGGACTGAGCATCCCTCAAAAAAACATAAAAGCTACAAAGAGAAAATGTGTTCCATATGTCTGTGGAGAGGAAAACAAGCAAGAAGGATCTCAAACTATAACAAGGAAGGTTCACATCAGAGGTTAGGAAAGGTTTTGTCTAATGGAGAGAAAAGCATGCAAGCCATGCCAGTGCTCTTGAGAGCCTGCAGAGTCTCACTACAGCAATCAAGACAAGCATCTATGAGATACAACATAGCACACCTTGATCCTGTACCTCTGTGCACAGGACCTTATATTTTCCCAGTTATATTTACCACTACAATAAACAGCAGTCCTGTTCTTTGCTGGGCCAAGACCAATAATGCTCTTGGCAGAGTAAGAGGCTGTGGGTATCATCAGTCTTTTCCTTTCCTGTAGTGGCAACTAACCTCACATAACTAACTGTTGTAAAGAGCAACACAAGGCATCTCAATCATGAGATCAAGTCCATTTAAATCAGCTGCATTCAAAGAGGTAGAGCACAGACATGAGACTCTTAATAGGTGTGTAACTGAAGCTGAATACACTTACTATGTTGTTGCAACACCAACCTGGAATATTAAAGTTGCTTTTCATTTCAGTACCCTAATATCTAAGTTAATTGCAATTCTAAACAGTTTCATTACCTGTTCTGAAATCAGGCTTGTCATATTTCAATGCTTTGCCTGCTCTGAGCTAAAGACAATTCTACGCACACAGTCAAAAGTCACAACTGGGAGACAGACTTGCCAATTTGTTCCAACTAAGAGAAAAAGATATATCGAAGACTGGATTTGGTCTAAGTGAGATAATGACTTCAAGAATTCTTGATTAAGCAACAGAGGTTTAAGTTTGGCTCACAGGCAGCAGGGCCTGTTCATACCACCTTTTTTCCAAAATTGTGAATTGCAAGCTCCACAATACAAGTGTTTCTAGTGGCCAAGTAGCTAGTGCTCCAAAAATACATTTTTTTTTTCCCAGCTGTAAACCCTAATTCCAAGAGACTGCTTTCCTCATTCCATGGCATGTAAAATCCATTTTTCTTTAAAAGTGCCTAGTGCTTATGGTAAGAAGTCTTTGCAGGAGTGAACTGAACATAAACTAGTAGCAGCCTAATTTTCCCAGACTTGCTGCCCAAGTTGTCTAGCAGCAATTGAGCGTTATTTTTTTCAAAAATTGTTGCTTTTGAGATCTGCACTGGGGTGTCAAACCCACTTCTCTCTAGTATAACTTTGTTCCTGCTTGCTATAGCTGTGAGCAAACACAGAAATGAAAATAGGACACAGGCATAAACAGACATCTGAGGACAGATAATGGGGAACCAAAAGAAAACTTTTCAGAAGCAGCAAGAATACAGGTGTAAGGTTATGCGAGTTGTGCGTAAAAGCATTATCAAGTGTGAGAAACTAGGGACTATGGTATTGTT